CTAGTAGAATGCAAAAGTTATAGAGCTTGGCAATGCGCAGTTTCTGAAAAAGTTTCGCGATTGATCATCTTTATCTTAAGGCATAATATCGAACATACTGAGAGAGAATAATCAAAGTAATCTATGTCGGTCCACATGTCATTCGACGCACCGCTAGCTGTTCTTTAAAAAGATATAAGGAAGTGGCTTTTCACTTGAAGAGAGTCGTCAAATTCGAGAGAATCCCTTGATTGATGAAATTGAGCTATTTTATCTAGTATGTTTGTAGAACAACTACGTTGGTTAACAAATCGTCACACATTAGTTGTTCCGCTATGTATTGTTAATGGACACAAATTCTTAATAGACTTGAATAAGATCGATTTCGAAATGAACTCAGTTCGATTTAGCCATGAACAATGTTGTTCAGTAAAGATGACTATTCGAATAAATAACTCTAGTGAGCGATGCAAGTAACAAAAAATGAACATGACAACTCATTTTTCTGGACAAAACGCTGATGAAGTATCCGGAATAGTTCGCTAGAAAATTGTGTGTTTACTTTGAAAGTGTGTATCAATAGGTTCTTTCATTTAAAATGACTCGAAAACTATCACTCAGGTCTTGTATTTTTAGGACTGGTATTCTGTCATGTCTTGGCAATTCTGAAAATTGAACTTTGAAAATCTATTCAGTTATTCAAGTCTTTACTTGACTATTGACCATCTCAGATTGAGTTTGTTGATCAATGACATGAATATATCTATCAATTGACGCGTCTAGTCTACATTAATCAGAAATTATTAGCATTTTCAACGAAGTGCTGAATCAAGAAGATGACATACTAGTGCTAGAATACTCTACTGAAAGTGATGTATTTTTGGTAAAAAATGAACTTTAGAAATGAAGCATCATTTTGATCCGCATCGTTATTCTAGCTATTCCCACGAAAACATCATCAACGATAATTCTAGGTGAAAACTCAAATCCTAGGCTCACTTGATGATTAAGACTCTTTCTGCAAGCATAATGGTCTCCTTTAGGAAAGGACAAGCGAATTTCTTGATGAGTATTATCATGTCTTACTGCACTTTGAAAAAAATAAATTTTGTGGCAGATGTTTGGACTATTTGGTCCTCTAATTTGTTCTAGAATAGGACGACATACATTTTTGGAGATTAATTCAGATACAAAGCCTGGAGTTCAGCTAACTATAACAAAAACACTGAAAAAACTATCTTTGTCTTTATGACCATATGACATCATCGTATCGTATTGACTTCTTTACGTTAACACAAATGCTTTAATAGATTCTTCTCGCTGTTGACGATAAGTTGCCAAAAAATCAAAACCAAAGCCATCTATGGGTAGTGTTGGATCTTTTCGAATAATTTGGATGAGAGTATGAGTTTGATCTTGATATTGAAATGAAAAGTAAATAGTTTTATTGTCTTCATGATAGAGTTGATTCCCATATTCAGTTTCGATCATCGGACAACGGATTGCTTTGGCATATGCCTCAATAATTTTGTCATAATTTGGATGCGTTTGATCGTAAAACAATCGAATCGAGATGTGAAATAGCTTGTGGTCGACAAACAAAAAGCAGATATAACTGAAGCTATTTACAGATATAGATGGTGGAATAAATTTGTTCATTTGATTACCAAAATCACTTAATCTTAACCAAAAATATCTAACAACGTGGTGTTTGTATTCATGAGCTTGTGGCAATGTGTTCCACTCCACTGTAAAAACGGTCGTGAAAGATGAGCATTAATATTTTGTGGACTATCTCCTAGTTGAAATTCATTGAAATCTGGTTCCCATATTGTCGGTACAATTACTGACTCTTCCGCTGTCATGAACTGTGCTACAGATTCTTGGTTGAAACGATGTATTTGTTTGATGAACTGTATACTTTTTCAGGAAGAAGCGTGAATATTATCAAGCCTCTTAGGTGTTCTTCTGTTAGTTATTGTCTATATAACACTGAATATATATAATTGTACTTCTTGCTAACAAGAAAAAAATATACAGAAAAATATGTCAGATGTAAGAAAGCAGTCAAGCTTTTCTCCCACTGTTATTACTGTTAAGGAAATATTCTTCCTTATGAACTATAGATGTGCATGTTCATTTTCCTTTCTCTTTCTGTTACATGTATCTGTTCTTTAGTTCTTGCTCAATTGAAATTGTTCGTTCGTGTCTATCTTCTTACGGTTCATAAACATCGATATTGACCTTGTCTCTTTTTATTCTTTTGCGCATTAATCTTTCTATCACATAGCTTATAATACGTGATAGTGTNCTATAGTACATTCAAATGAGTTAAAAATTTGGGTTTGGTAGTTTTAGGTGACGGTCTTTCGAATGTACATTAAAAATCGAAAAATAAAATTTTGACCAGTGCCTCATATACTGGAGCGATCCTCGGTCCTCTCATGGATGCTCTCTTAAATATTTAGCACTTTTTTTATTAAAATTTTCTGATTGGTATTTTGTTCTTGTACAACATTATTTTTTAACGGAGACAAAAGTTTAGCGTCCTAATTCTAGTATTTATGCGTGATAGACTAACAAAAGAATGTTAAAGACAATAAAAACAAATTCAAATCTTATGAGACATAGTGTGTTAACTTAAACAAACAATAATTTAGCCAAGAGTTTAAAACGATATGAATAAAAAGAAGTTGCGTAAATGGAATGTCTTTATTGACAATTTTATCGTAGCTAGAAAGAAATCTCGTGGACAAAATAGTCACACAAACATGATCTCAAATCAGTTATTCTGACTATCTTCATTATTAGCTGCTTCTTCTACCAATATAAAAAATTTTGACGGAAAATCAGATTAAAATCGATTATTTGATTCAAAATCGAATATTCATTGATTCAATTTGAACAATCGATTAAAATAGATTCAAAATAATTAAAATCAAATGAAATCTATCGTTAAGGTTGAGAAATCATATTAAAATCAAATAAAAATAATGCCATTATACTTGATAAAAATTCGATTTTTGATCAAATAATCGATTTTAATCTGAGTTTTCGTCAAAATTTTTTTTGCATGGGTGTTGCATGGAAAGACTTGGATGCCTTGTTTCTATTCGATTATAGTTCAGTTCATGTACGTGCAGCTCATCCTACAAATTCATCTTCAAATAGAGGAGTTTGTTCAATAAATATCTTCAGCAAAATCATGTTCAGCTGATGTGCATTGAACAAGTCAAAATCCACTTTTACAGCCTCTTTTACCAGTTTATTCAAGAGATAACACTAATAGAACATCTCAGTTCGAATCTTACCCGAATCCACCTCGATTGGAAGACTCAGCAGAACAAGATTCAGCATTTTGTTACTACATTCGTCATTTTCCACACTTAATACAAAACAGTAGAATAATCTTCATGTGGATGGAAAATTTTTTCAAACAAAATTTGAAATTGCCAATTTGTTATTTGTTGATTTATTCATAAAAAATTGAAAGAATGTATATGTGAAGAGAATTTTACAAAGCAAAGGATGGTGTCGATCTTAGAAGCTTTTATGAAAATTCGTACTATTTTTGACAGATTTGAAAAAAGTGCTAGGAAGCTCAGCTCTTCTAGTAGCGAAGTTCTGATTTCGCCACTGTATTTAATGAAAGTATAGTTCGTCATTGTTAACGACTGTTTACGATGAGCGTAATACACTGTAAAACGTCGTATATGACTGCCGTAAACGGTCACTATAAACAGCTATCGTTTTTCGTCGTAAATGATTGGTATATGGTCGTTTACGGTCGGACGTGAATGACCTGGGCATTGTTCCTTCCACAAAAACCTCGTCTTTTATAACACAATCCGAAAAGAATACAATAAAAGCAGGCAATATTTTGCTAATAAGAAGACTAAATTAATTGAGAATATGATGTTCACACAGCAGCGTGGGGCAGTGAAAGCGTGCTGAGCTCATAACTCAAAGGTCGTAGAACTGTTCAATAAATCATGTTACTTCATTTGAATCTGTTGCTTTTCATTCTCCTATCCAATCATGCTATATTACGAATCAGCTTTGGTGGATCGAAACTACTCGCTGCTAAAAACCTTCTTTTTTTCTTCTGTTCTGTCTAATGACATGACGTAAGGCAAAGAACAAGTTGTGTTCGCTTCACTAAATAAATCAATCAGATAAAAAAAAATTTATTGCATCAAGAAGCCGATGAGGATTAAATATAGACAAATAATCTCAACGTTATCAAAAAGTATTTGCACTAAAATTGATCTGTATGGAGCCGTTTCTTCTGTTGAACGTCTTAATGATTCAAAAATGAGACCAATTCCATAACCTATTCCAAGTTCTGTACAGCACCTTATTTTAGAGAACCTTAAATTTTGTATTTTATTTTTACCGCTGTAGTATTAAAACTGCGTTTTACCAAACTGATGACAGTCGTATACATATATTGATGTAAACCAACTCCACATTTCGGTCATTTTATGCGTGTAACTACACCAAGGTTTTTTCCGCACTCTAGAACCTTTTCTATGCTGAATTATGAAATTTTAGAAAATCCGTAGAGATAGATGTATTTTGCATTTTGCATACTGTATCACCAATTCTGATTCGTTTGTCTCAGGTAATATTAGAATTGAAAGAAAAAAAAAGCCTAATAAAATCAACCGTTTTTTGAGCTGAAGAGATGAATAACTGTCAGAAAAAAATTAAATAGATTTTGACTTGGAAATATGCAAGCAGCTTGATAAAACAAAATCACAGATGATCGACTTTGTAGGAATCGAGACGTAGATGTCTAGCAATTACCAAATCTACCGTTGAGCTTAATTACGTCCTTTTTTCGCTTTAGTCATGCCAAAATTTAAGTAAAACATACACGCGACAAGTTGCAAACTTTTTTCATAACCATACTTTCTTATGACCAGTTTATCCTGTGATGATCATTAACACTGAATGTAATAGAACAAAAATAATCTGTAATGACTAAACTAAGCGTAGATTTATTGAGAAAAAAATGTCTATTTTTTTTGTCCATTTTGTATGGCCATAAACCATTTTTCCATTGATGGGTGTTCAGAGAGATCGATAGTCAGGTTTCTGCCAATTTTTTGCCATAATTTTGCATATTGATCAAAATGCCGGAGAATAGTATCAAAATTTCCTTCACCAACCGTATATTCTACCATCGGCACACAACATGTATTACGTTCCTTCGATTCAGTATCATCCATATATTGAATTGTATATTTCCCATATGGTAGTGGATAACCAAGTGCACGTCCAATATCGACCGTATTGATAGATGAAGAGGTGGTCGTAAAAATTTGTTTCACAAGTAAATATCGTTCGTGTCTCTAAACACATAAAATATAAGAAAAGATCTTCGGCAAAAAAAAATCGTCATGCTTACTTTATTCACGAACATCCAACCACCTTTGTAAAGTTCTGTCAGTGGTGGTTTCAATTTCCATAATTCGAATCCTTGTTTTTCTAATTGAAATTCATCAAACATTGGTTTTAGTGCTTTCTCAACAAGACCTGTGGCATATCCAGGCATTTCGTAATGTGCTAATAGAGTACACGGCTTGAGACCGAATAATGTAGCAAAAATTTCGCCATCTAAAGCATAGACAATAATTAACGTTTGTCTTTGATTCACTCAACTCTTTGCCGAAAAGTTTTAAGCGTATTCTCACAAGCAAAGTATATACAACAAGCAATTAAGAAGTTCTTCAATCACTAAAAGTGCTACTCGCAGGAAAAAATTTGGAAAAATGTATTTTGTCTGATAAAAATGCGTATTTTTACATTTTTAACGTAAGATGACAAAGAGAAAATTTTTCAGATACTTTAGAAAACCCATAACAAAATTTTATAATAAGTTTTCTTCATTTTGTTGTATAGATTTATACTAAAAATCATGCAGAGAGTCGCGAGACGTCTTTAATTGAAAAGAAAAGTCTTGCGAACACTTTAAGACGTATCTGCACCTCTAGAAATCCTACACAAAAACGTTTTAGTAAAAACTGATAGGATGCTTATCAGAATCTTCTCAGTTTCTGATATAAGATTGTTTTAGATCCCTCATCAGGGTGGCCATCTGTACCCCATTTTGAGGTACAGCACCGCATTTCGCCCTTTTATACCCCACAAAAATTTGTACCCCATTTGAACCCTTTTCTACTTTACACTACTTATGAACCATCTTTTAACAAAATTCGAAAAACTGCCTGCAGAACCTTAAATCATTTTCTAGAGATGTGAACAGATTAAAAAGCTTGCAAGTATCTTACGATTGCATCTATTTGAACTCGTCTTTTCTATTGACTCGCTAATTCCGCCTGGAAAGTCAAATTGAATTTTTGATGAACGATTAAAATGAAATGTTGAAGTTTTTATTTTAATGGCTCGATCAGAAATAAGCAAATGGATGAGAAAGTAACAAAGATAGAGTCAGCTAACGAAGAAGATGCCAAACTCAGCGGATCGGTGATTAATCCGATTTCTTCCTCAAAAATCAAAAATTGCTTCTTCACTTTCGTTGGAAGAGAAGTGTTTGATAATGCGGAGGACTACAACGCTTTCTTTGACAAAATCCAAAGTCAAATGATAACTTTTAACGAGAAAAGTTCAAATGAATGCGAAAATTTTTCGCTTCGCAACGATCAATAACTATTCGGACCATAGATCGAAACCGAGTCGAATATTCGGGAATTCGACTCGACTCAAACCAAGTCGAGTCAGACATGCAAAATTCAACTCCATAAATATCTAAAATTATGTTTTTTTTCGATTGAGAGCAGTAAGAGATGGATATAATATTCGATTTTTTTGTACATTTCGAAGTAAATGAATAGCCATTTGTTCTTTGTTCAACTCTTCATGTAGACTTTTGATCTGTTTGCACTCAGAAAATTTTACGCTCAAATTAAATCGTAGACTCATTCATTGGCTGTTTCGTATTATCTTCATCCGTTCCCTTCATATCTTTTTTACTCGCTTTAGATGCCTAATTATCATGTAATTCAATGGTTTCCACATATGACAGCTTGAGATACAGCGTATTCTAGGAGGCAAGTTATCATTAGCGTACGTACAGTAGAATAAGCAATGGATCATTTTAAAGATTTGCAAATATTAGCCAATTTGATTTTTGAGAAACTTTAGTAAGTTGTGTGAATCATACCCCGTGAAAAATGTCAGATTGTAATCGGATTTTTTGAAACAAAATCTGATTTATAATCGATTGAAATCTTTCAGATTAAAAAAGTGTAATTTTAATCAAAGTTAATCTTCGAAGTCAGCTATAATTTTGATAAAAATCAAAATTATTGATTTCGCAGATTTCAATCAATTATAAACTTGGTCTTGTTTCGCAAAAGTCTGATTATAATCTAACATTTTCCAGTGAATATAAGAAAAGCGTTTCGCAATTGAACAGATATAAGTAGATATACTTAAAAAGAAAAGTAAAATTGTGGATATCTGGACAAATATGAATTTGTGATGAATAGTGACTGTTTCATAATTTTTTAGTTGATACTCGACAACTCGACTCGAGTCGAATCTTGATTTTTCTGACTCGTTTTGGTCTATGATACGGACGTACTTTTTGTAGAAATGGGCAATTTTTTTTCTGTGAAATATTGATTTTTCTTTGCAAACGGCTTCACTGTTAATAATTTTCAGTAAGATTGTCGCTTTTGGTAGCACAAGCGTCACTGGATCTACTGACTTAAATGTAAGAAGGTTTTTCTTTTTGAAAAGTTGGCAGAGCAAAACAGAATCATCGAAAAATTCGGTTAAAGTGTTGTGACTCGAGGAAAACTAACATTTACATTAGTCTAATCGACGAGAAAGATCTTTCAATTTTTATTTTTTCTTCAAAATGTTTTTCATTTTTCCTCAAGATCTTTACTTTCGAACAAGTGTTGCAAATGTAGTCGTCTTCGACGTTGAAGAAAAGGTTTTCAGTCAAATGCAAAAATGTGTTTTTCTGAGAAGATTGCAAGGCAATACATAAGTTTTCTAGCAGTTTGCAAATATGCTCTCATTTGGAAAAAATTGATCTGAATTTTGAACAGTTTATTAAGTATTCCTGAAGTCCACCTTTTTGGATGAAACTGATTGAAATTAACAAAATTTTGATAAATTTTTAGACCACTAGAAAATACTACATCAGCTCTATGTGAAAATATTTTCTCCCTCTTTCAATCTCGACTATCTCGAGCCATTTCTCATGTAACAAGACTTATGTCATTTAATTTCCATAGTTAAGATGCTTTCTAAATGAAATTTTTCATTTTGTTTACTGTAGCGATGGGTTTTTCGGAAAGCACTTATTTAGAGTTTCTTCTTTGCAAAAGAAGAACATTTTAGATCATTTTTCGTACAAGAAAAGATCAATATGAAGTCTTTCATTAAGCCACACACTTCACGAGGATCAACTCACAATCTTCCAGACTTGCCCGGGACAGATATCTTAACCAGCAGGCCA